CCACATGTCAGGAGGTTTAAGTTCTCAGTTTCCCTCCATGGCCCGCTCCACTCTCCCTGGTGGTTTTGTGGTGTTGGAGGCAGCAGCAGGAAGCACTTGTTGTGCACAGGATGCCCCTAAATGCACCACTCCCACTCAGCTAATAACTTTTACACTTCTCTTCCCCTTGGCTGTGCACACAAGTGGGACATGTTCACTTCGTTCTTGGCAGTCATTTCCTTTGTGGTCAGCAGACACGACGTTCACTCTGAGTGCAGTCAGACTAGGCGAGAATAGCAATGCTTTGTTATGCAAACTCCCCGGGGACAAGGATGTTACTTATTAAGGCTTTTCACAGTTTTGTAGTCTGAAATTTTGAGATTTTAAATGTCATATTTACACAAGTTAAACTCACCAGTTATAGGACTCATAGATGTGGACATGCTCTTTTGTCTAAATGTTTTGAAAAAAAAATCTATCAAAACGAAGATGTGATAAATGTGAGAATATATGTGCAGTAACTCCTTACTACCTCACCAAGCATAATGGCATATCCAACTCCACCATGTGAAGTGTGATGTTTGAAGTTCAGTGTGGGAAATACCCTATTTTTGTGTATTGTGTTTAATGCTTTGTCGCCCTTATGTTCTTTCTGGCTTTTGACTCCTTACCTGACTCCAACGGAGAGCTGCACAAGAATTCCTATAGACTGTCTGTTTATACATAAAGAGCAAATAAAAATCTTGAATCTTGCAGTACTGGTAAACAGTTGCAATAACCTTTGAGTCTCCTTATTAGAAGACAAGTCTCTGCTGCCACCAGGTATATCCGAGTAAGATTGTAGACATGCAGCGAACAGGACAGCCAGGCACAGGCCCAGTGTCCCAAGGGCTCAGGGGCCCCTGGAGCTCACCTGCAATAGAGACACTAAACAACCACGTGCAAAATTACTATAAAGTAGTGTAAAACATTTTCAGCAACAAAAGTAGACCTTAAAAAAAGACAAAGGGCGGGGGATGCTTTACGTATCTTTGCCCAGAGGCCCATTGTGTCATAATCCATCTGTGGTGAGCAAGAACAGGATTTTAATTTTACCCGTACTTTTCCTTCTTTCCTCCATATGCCACAGAAATAATCCATAAAGGAAGGAATAAGGGCAGATAACTGCATCAGGAGCCATGTGAGCTACTGTATGTGACTTCCTAACAAATTCTGGGATTTTATTTTTAATTTTAGAATTTCCTCTAATTGAGAACTTCCCCAAAGGAGATGACATAAATCTTAGTCACAGTAAGCAGCGATATTTTAAGACTAAAGAGATGTTTTATACTTCACACATTTTCTCGTTCCCAGAACGACAATCAAAATAAAAAGACAAATAGGAAATGTCCGTGTGTCGGAGGGAGATGACTCGTACGTAAATGAGCAGAGGCCAGAGAGAAGGAAGGCCACCTCACCCATCCCATCCTTGTCTAAGCTTCACTCTGACTGATTCATGTCTTTCCCACTTTTTACAAAGAAGAGCAGGAAAACCAGCAAAAACACTTCTGGGACGGGGGGTGCGGGTGGGTCTTACGGGATGTTGTTTGAGTTTCGGATCCTGTTTTCTTCCCTTGTCCCAAGAAGCTACACTGCTGCAGGTGCACAAGCAGCCCCCTGCTCCTCCTTCACCCCCACCACCCTTATGGCCCTCACTCTCCTCCCTTTTGCCCAAATAAGTATAGCTCTTCCCATTTTTGGAGGTAACCCTACTCCTCATCAAGCCTTTCATTGTTGTTCAAATTTCTTGGCATTGCTGATGTATTAGCAGCCTGAGGTGAGTACAGGGACAGAGGGATCAGGGACTCTTTGCCTTATATAACACTTATTTTACTCCTAGGGGTGAAAATATCCACTTGTCAGTCATGTCATACAGTTGCAAAGCCTGAGCCCTGAGTGGCTGAGTTCTGTTTGTTCTGCTGAACTCTCAGAGAAGTAAAAATGGGTCAAGTGATGTTCTAAGCACAGTTAGAAGCTGTGGGACTCTGGAGGTAAACTATGCATTAAGGCCCCACGTGTCTGCAGGCACTTGGTTTTACCCCCACAAATGACAAAAGAAGTCATGTTATTGGACATGGCAGGTTTTAATGGCTGCTTTTGGTTTATTAGAAGCATAAATGTCAAATGTTTAATGAACATAAGAACTCTCCGCTCGTCCTCCGAGCCCAGCACAGAGCCCAAACCTCACATTGCCGCTGAAAAATCTCAGGGGCTGCATTTCATTATAAATCATTCTTCAGTTTTTAAGCGTGCTACTCACCAGAGTTTCCATGACATCATGAGCTGTCAGTATGGGAAGCCAGTCGCTTATATTCTGAAATTCAAACCAGGACACACAGCAGCAGCATAGCAGGCATCCAGCAAGGAATCCCACGCCAGGATCAATGTATAAGTGGTGGCACAAAACCTGCAAGATGAAGAGCGCACATGCACATGAAGGGGCTTCATGGAAAAATATAAAGTCATTGTTGGGCTCGAGTCAAGAGGTTTTGTTTTTTACC